CACATGCTAGAGGACAGAGTTAAGGTGATAGAGGTTATCTTAAGTTCGGCATTTCCTAGCCTTTGCAGCCGTTCCATTCTTTTTAAATGTAGTGGTTTTTTGTATGGAAAATATATAGTGAATGTTTGTGCACATCTTCCTTGTGTTTCTCAGGGGGATGACGGTGGCCCTCTAGTCTGCGAAGGGACAGCACAAGGAATCTTCTCCTATGATTTCAAAGTCCCTCCTGGCTTTTACACTCGCATTGCCTCCTACCTTCCCTGGATTGAGACAACCATGCAGTAAGAAACAGGAGAGGAAGAGGCTGAACCTTCTCCTGCATCATCGGCTGCCTTTGAAAGTTGGGCGTTTCCTTGTGCTGTATTTGGTGGCTTTTTCCCCCTCCCTTTTCTGGGGTGCTGAGTGGCAAGTTAGGGCTAAGACAAGAAGTGGTCCCGATAGGGAGTCCCCCTTGTCCTCGTCACAAAAAAATAAATCCCTCTAGACGTACAAACATCTACACACAATGCTACGGCTGTAGCCTACATCCCACTGGGAAGGTGCCTCGATGAGCCCTTGCTGATTCCATCTGTGGCATCTATATTGGGAGCGCTAAGGGAGACATGGTTGCCCGGGGCCATCAGCATTCTTAATCCCAGGGGCCTGATTCTCCCCTGTCCTGCACCTGCTCTCCAAGGTACTTTTGACCCTCATGACTATGGCATCTGAGTGCCTCTCACTCTATGTTTATTCTCAACCTCCCGGCAGATGGGGCAGTGCTAGTATCCCCATTCTACAGAAGGGGAATTGAGCACAGAGAGGTTAAAAGTCTTGCCCAAGGTCACGCAGCTGGAGCAAGGACTTGACCCCCCAGTCTCTCAAATGCTAGGCCCATGACTTTACCACTGAGCCATCCATCCTGCCTGCCATTACTTGACTACCACTTTGGGCTGGTGTCAATGACCCCACAAGGTGCAGGGCATGGGAGACAATAGGGCCTCCCCCCACGTAAGCCAGCTCTGAGCAGATCTACATGACAAAGGTTAAATGAGCGCCAGGGGCTTGTCTACACTAGTGCTCCCAGTGGAGCAGCTGCAGGGGTAGTTGCAATATATGTGGGGGGTGGGGAATATTAGCATAGAGGACCAGACCAGTGGGTATAAGGGAGTCTAACTTCCACCATCATGCACATTTCTGAATTTGGGCCAATGCTCCCAATTCTGGCAGGAGCTTCTGTCCCTCCCCAGCGAGCCAGGATTAACGCCTGCACCCATGTGTAGCCCCTGCTCTAATCGCTGCTTCATTCCTGCCTTGTTGCTGCGTTACCGGATTGTCCCGAGCATGAAAAATAAACTCTCCGCTGCGTTTCAGAGTCCTTCTCTGGTCCGAGTCTCATTGCCTGGGGGTTTCCGGACATTGCTCGGAGAACGTGAGATGAAGCGATTAGTTCCAGACCCGGGAATCGCTCGGAGTCTCATTCACAGCTAGAAAGTTTGGGGCTTAGTTTACACAACAAAATTTGGCCAGCAGCTGTAAATGGACTAGGAGCATGAAAAGAATGACACTGCCAATGGGCAGCAAGGCTGGCAAAATGGTGGAGATGTAACTACATCCCTACCCCATTATAACGCTGTCCTCGGGAGCCAAAAAATCTCACCGCGTTATAGGTGAAACCGCGTTGTATCGAACTTGCTTTGATCCGCCGGAGTGCACAGCCCCCCCGCCCCCCGGAGCGCTGCTTTACCGCGTTATATCCGAATTCGTGTTATATCGGGTCGCGTTCTATCGGGGTAGAGGTGTGTGGCGACAGCCGAATGCTGCTAGCGACCCAGCTAATGTGGTTCAAAGAGGCGGGGTTACTACAGTGGCAGAAAAACTCTTCACCAGCCTACACTAGGGGAGCTCTGCCAGTTTAGCTAGACCACGTAGACAAGCCCTGGCTCAGGGAAACCCTAATCCCCTCCCTCCTTCCCCCACAATCAGTCTCTCCTCCTGTTCCCCAAACCCCAAGCAGAACGTAAGCTTTTCGGGTCAGGGCTTCTGTTTTTATCTCCGGATCTCATTCAGCAGCGAGGACATCGGCGATGCTGAAAAACCAGGAACCTGACCTCTTCTGGCAGAAGCCAGCAGTTAGAGGTAAGAGACTGCGGCTTCCCCTAAGAACTTACGTAAGGAATGTTACAGATGTCAGAGGGCTGGTCCAATGTGAAAGGGGAAGTATGTCACACAACTGGAGAATGAACCTAGCTCAAGTGCCAGTCCAGGGCTTTCCCTGCACGATCAGCCTTCTTCCGTGTCAGAGAGACATCCCCGCAGAGTTCGGGATCACACACACGGGGTGAAACCCCTTCCCTATTAAATTCAATGGGAGTTTTCCTTTTGACGTCTGGAGCCCTGCAAATCTGCAGACATCCGCGGACCATTTTTGCAGATTGGATGCAGATAAAAATTTTGTATCTGCTCAGGGTTCTATTGATGTCAATGGAGCCAGGAGGCCCTTATATGCCTTTTCTGTCCTCAAAACCCCTTTCATTGCATCAGTGATTCGGTGCCTCACTTATTACCTGACCAATGGCGACCAGCTCATCACCATGCCAGGCTGACAGT